CTAACTTATTTTTACAAAGAGAAAGATGCAAAGTTATCATAATATCTTTGCTTGCGATCTCCGAGATGTGTGGACACAGTGACGTCATGAGGAGGGAAATCGTAGCTTCAGCTCTAAGAGCGGAGTGAACTTGCCCTTCTATTCTCTTTAGCCCTGGTGGTAACCAGCACAACTATAAAGAATCGCCAATGACAGAATACTGATTCTTTAAACCGCTTGCGTATTGGCTACACACGAAAAACTCATCAACAGCTTTTTCTAAATGAACCAGAAGGCACCAATTGTAAAGAACATTTAACTGTTATGCATATTTTAATCGAGTGTAGAAAATTTAAAAACCAGAGACTACGTCATTTTGGTAGCTTCCATCAGTCATTATTTTCATCCATCACTCAGTCTAACATTTTCTCATATCTTAAGGACATTGGTATTTATACATCTAACTAGTTTTAAAACCAAAACAGATTTGTGAACCTAGTTGTAAAATGTCTACCCAGTTGGAGGCGCGATATAGCCAAAACTGGCTCAAAAAACTCAAATCAAATCAACCTCAGTGAAAATTGGTGACAATATAAGAACTCTAAAGTTTCTGTCGGAGCTAGTTTCCACGGTGACCTGAATATTTTTTATCGAAATGCGCCTTAATGTTTTGTATTCCAAAGAGCTTAATTACAGAGGCTTTACTTCATCACGCTGCTCTCGAGTTCGCAGCAAGTGATGGTGAGATTTTTCGTATCGCTGGTACACCTGCCAAAATTATCACAACGCTTTGGTGACTTCCGGGGAGTAGTTCACAAGACACTTACAAAAAATACAAAAAAAGAAACCAACTCAAAGAGCCATATATCCGGCAGATCTCTACATATATATTTTCAACTTTGAAATACCTTTGGCTCCTTTGCAATCGTAGTTGGCGTGAAAAGGTACCAAAGCGTGAAAGAATCAAGTGATATACTCTAACTCATTCTACGCGAATGATGATAAATGACGGAAGCTATGATAAATCATTTTTGAAAATGTAAAAATGTTTAAAAATGTACTTATCTATTTCCGGCTCAATCCTCTGCTGCGTGAAGTCAGACTTGCCAGTCCGTCATAACGTTTGGCCTGGGTGTCTTAGGCCATTGTGACCCCCTATTAAACGCCGTATGATGGAACTTGAGATGATATACTTGTGGTCCTTGGATCCTAGAAATGAAGGTGAAAAATTAATACTTGGAGACATTACCCAAATAAACATCATGGTTAAGATTGCACACAGAACTTTAAATAAGAGTATAGGGGAAAAAACTATAATTCATGAGCGTCATAAATAAAATAATGACGTCTTCGCTCGCTAAACTAAATCAACAAATAAATTGCTAATATACAATCCGACTTCTATTTAACGAACTTCCATTTTGCGAATTTCTCTATTTGATTTTTTTTTTGAGGAACAAAGAACATTTTGGAAATTTCTTCGCAAAATAACTTCCGAATAGCGAAGTGAATTTTCTATTTAACGAACTTTTCTTTAAGATCCGCTTTCCCTATTTCCCAAAATATTTCAGAACATTTCAAACTTATTAACGCATTTTCTGGGGGAAATGACCTTGTAATGATTTTCACAGCCACTTAACTTTCAGAGAAAGCAGTAAGGTCCCTTTCTCCTTCTATTCGCATTTCATACAGGAATATATACGAAAAATCAATTTAAGAGAAAGCATAGCAAAAGTTTTAGAGCATGGAACTATGATGTTACAGATCGTACTATTCATAACAGTTTTGCTAAAGAAGGATTCTTAGAGTGGAAAATTTGGAAAGTGCGGAGGACTAAGATGACATTCCTTTAGAAGAACTTTAAAAAAATGCAGGTACTGGTAAGAGAAAACCACGAAATTAACAATGTTGTACTCCTTAATGATTTTCCTTTTATTGATTCTGAAGTTGCAATCACAGAAGCATTAGTTGAATCGGATATTTTAGATAGTTTAAAAAACAAAAACAATACAGCAATAAATTGTGAGGAATAAGAAGAAGATGAAGACGGAAATGATGAAGAAATCACCAAACCTTCACACGATGAAATCATTTGAAATAATTCGATAGTGGATAATAATTTACACGATAAAGGTGTATCAATTGTTATTTTAATTCTGTACAGTGTTTATGAATTTAAAACATGTTTTGTGTTGTTTAAGTATTTCTAATGGTGATTATTCTATTTAATGAATTTTCTACATAACGAATTTTTGACCGGGATTTAGCAACTTCGTTAAATAGAGGTTCGACTGTAATTTTCATTTCGTATTCAATGTAGATTGAGTCCTCCATAAAATGCATCGCTTATTCAAATATTTGTTCGCCAACAAAATATATCGTCAGTTCAACTTTGGCCGCTTTGTTATTTTGCCATAAACAGTTTCACTATTTACGCACCATTGAGTTTTACTCAAATGATCATTATTGCATCACTTATAAAAAAGATTGACCTCAGGTAGAAGTTTTACTATGAGATCATTCTTTACTTTACAAAAACACAAAATATAACAAAAAATCAATTTACAGAATTAAAAAGACAAACTACTTTTTTTCGGTTTAAATAGGGTTTATATTTGGTTTATTTAAAAATACGGATTAAATAATAATTTGCGTCCCAAATTTAAACAGGGTGCGTAGCCAGATTTTTCAACAAAAAATAAGCACCTTTTAAGTACTTTTCAAGCACAAAATTTTTTTAAACACTTTCTGAAAAAAAATTCATAATTAGGATCTGTGCTGTAATAAAAATTATTTTTTTCTATCGTTTAAAGTTCTTAATTTAAGAAGATAAAATCAATAAAATTCAAAAACATTTCACATAAGATTTCTCAAAAAGATTTCAAACTTCACATACTCAGCTAACCAACTAGTTTCTATAATAAATAATAATTTATTATAAGCTAGTTTTGATAATAAATAATAATTTTATTAAGCTAGTTTCTATAATAAATAATAATTTTATTAAACTAGTTTCTATAATAAATAATAATTTTATTAAACTAGATTCTATAATAAATAATTATTTATTTTAGTTTCAGTAATAAATAATTGATTTTAAACTAGTTTCTATAATAAATAATAATTTATTTTAAACTAGTTTCTATAATAAATAATAATTTATTTTAAAGTAGTTTCGATTATAAATAATTAATTTTAAACTGGTTTCGATAATAAATAATAATTTATTAAACTAGTTTGTATAATAAATAATAATTTATTAAATTAGTTTCTGTAATAAATAATAATTTATTTTAAACTTAATTTTTGATAAATATTTCAGTGAACATTGCGAAAATCATGCATTTTTTGTAATTTAGAACGACGATGAAAACACGGCAAGGAGAAAATCCTTTGTTAAAGGATAAAAAATTAAGCACTTTTTACAAACCCCGAATAAAAAAGAACCTTTAAGGGCTTTTAAAAAAATGTATATCAAAAATAAGCACCTTTAAGCACTTTTTCAAAACGCAACACACCTTGATAAATAACTAAACCTTTGGAAAGTTTAATGATTATTAACGACCATTTTCAATAAACAATTCAAAATAGTGTCATTTAATGTCAGATCAGGTTTCATTCGTGCCCTTCGATTTTATCAAAATTTAGTAGATGTGAAAACACATAATTAGATAAGTAAGTCCAACGATTTTAAATTTTTTTTTTTTTTTACTTGAAAATCATCTAAGTAATGAACTCAAGTACAAGGTTCTTTCAAAGCTATAAAATGGCAAACTTTCATAGATATAAATGATTGCAACTTTTTTTCAAGGGATATATCGAGTACCGAAATATCGTTGGGTCTCGGAAAAAATCGAATCTTCTACCGAACCGGTTCTGGGTACCCGGTAAAAATTTTATTTGTAACCGGACCGATTCCGTGTACCTAGTCAAATTTTAATTTATAACTCGATCGGTTCAGGTTACCCGGCTTCTCATGAAAGCATTTATGCATACAATACACATCAATAAAGGGTCGCGGAGGCTCAGGGGATAGAGCACTCGCCTCCCAACGAGGTGAACAGGGTTGAAATCCCAGTGGTGGCTGATAGATACGAATTCCGCACCTGACTCACCCCTACCACAGCGCTAACGTAAAATATCTTGAGTGGTCTCTAGTCTATCATGTATAGACTAGA